GTCCAAGATCGACACACAACGTCACCAAATACTCGTATATCTAACGTACCTTGCCTCCTGGATATGAATAAAGCACCACTTAAGGTCCAAATTGCGTAGTAATTTCCATATATTTTATGGCTGCATCTAACCTTCTCGTTAGACTGCCTACGTACCCTCAACAAGAATCAAGCCATTCGTAGTTCGTCACTCACTACCCATCTACATTTACCATAGTACATTCAAGCCGAAAGATATAACATTCCTCAATCAATCATTAGAACTTGACAAGTATGGAAGTACTAGATTCAAGGCTACATAACAATCCAATATGACAATCAAGGTTTCCATTCCACCCATCATATAAGTCACTATGTTTTCAACATAATATCACAATCCAGTCATGTAACATATCAAGGATCAACCAAGCACAATATTTTTCTCTAGTCGCATTCATTAACTAATCTAATCGTATTAATAGCAACTATATCCAACGTCATTCCACAATCCCGTAAATTAATCAATTCATGAATCAAAGATACACGATTTTAACCTTTAACTATATTAATCAACCAATGAGATAACATACCATTTCACCAATTCAATTAGAGAACTTTGTATAATTCTCTACTTAGGTTATGAGTAATAACATGGTATATAAATTCACAAGGTCTATTGTGGGTAATTCCCATTCACTCGAATCTAGGGTTCTAGACTAATCTTATGGGAATGAGCGAAAACAAGGATTCCGGACTACTCAACAGAATCCAACAACATAGGGTTCTGAACCCCTCAACGGAAACAAAATATCAAGTATAGAATCATGCTTTATGAAATCATAATCAAGTCGCTGAAAACTGCGAAGGAGTCACCTAGACATCCAACGGCTTTTCTAATTCAAACCACAAGATTCCCAAAAACCATTGTTCATATGTACATTAAAAACTAGGCTAAAGGGACGCAGTTCGGCCGAAGCCTACATCTTAGAAGCTATCTCAATCCAACTCAATGAAAACCGAGGTGGATATGATCTCAGACCATCACTCAATGGAATCGCGGAGTAGAAAGTATTCCGAACCATCTCTTAACGGAATTCGAGTGGATACGATTCCGGACCATCACTCAATGGAATCATGGAGGGCCAACAACCATATATACAATGGCTCAAAGAAATGAGACAAGCACAAGTTACTTAATTTACAAAAGCTTAACCAAGGGAAATAAGGCACAAATACTAAATTTAGAACGAATCAACGAAGCGGAAGATGAAACCATATCGAAACAACAAATCCCCATCACCACGGGTTAACGGTCTACCACTAGTCCTCACATTTCATCACAACATGTCAATCAAACCAATCAAACCATATTTCAATATATACATGTCAAATCTCATTTCATAAACTTAAATCATTGGCTAAACATTGAAAATAACAATTCAATAGAAAGCATATTTATAAGACCAAGTCATATCCACATAGGATAACAATTTCGAAAACAGGGTAATCACCAATATCACATATATTAAAGTCATTCACCTGAGGTCCACACTAACACACTCTAGCAGGGAATTCAAGGCATCAAGCTCTATCACTGCCAAAAACAAAGCACAAGTCCACATTTAGATTTCTCTCAATAAATTCACATACCTAAAACTCTCATTAGTCTCCCACAATGACATTTAATGAGAATCAAACCGTCGATTAAAGGTATGGTCCATGATCTTACATCACTTGCTCCGTAAGATCCAACCACTAGATTTTCACTAGTAAGTTCCTAAGGTCCAACAACTGATAATTGGGATGATCATAAAATTGTACGACGATCCAACGATCGGATTGTCGTGAATCGTGCAAACAAGTGGTGGTCCAATTTGATCACCACACAGAACAATTGAATTTCGGGAAACTGAGCTAGACATAGGTTCATATGGTCACTAGAAGGTATTTGGTATTTAGACAACACTTGTGGACGGTCCCATGCACAGCTACACACGATGCTAGTCATGGTGAAGGGTTTGAAAACCCAAATTTTCAACATTAACTAGATGAGCTCAAATTTACGTGGTAACTAGAGCTCAACAAGGGAAACATTAATCACAACTAGACCAATGACAAATTCTAACCGGAAACCATCCAAATTCATCGGGGAAAACCGAGTTTCTAGGGTTCTAACACCCAACTGTAAAACGAATACGAAAGCACAAACCAAGCATACCAACTTGAAGATTATGAAGAGTAGATGAAGTTTCATACCTCACTCGAAGGAAATGATTGTCGGAATCATCGGAAAAATGATAAAACCGTCAGAAAACCCACGGAAATTCGCTGCCTCGAATTGGAAAAATGGATAAGAAAATGGAAAATTTAACACTACAAAGATCTAGGGCTCGTCAAGAGCTTTCCATGGACACCAAGATCACCCAAAACGGAGCTCGGATAAAGGAGATACAAGCGGGTCAAGGGGTTAAAGGGTTGAAAACGCCCCAAAAACGGGTCAAAACCAGACCCCTCATTCATTTTTCTGAAAACTTTTCTCCTTCTAATTGGTCCCTCACTCTTTTATTAAGCTCACTTAACCTTTAACCCACATGTGGGAATTAAATAGTTCCCACAATCAGTAACTATACCGTTATAATTCGGACTCACAAATGACTTTCTCCTATGCGCTCGTGGCTTCGAGACCTATACGAAAAAGTTACTTGTGACCTCAAAAGGTCAACGAATTTTAAATAATTATTTTCCAAACTTCACTCTTTGTAACTAGTTTAATTAAAATCTAAATCCAAACAATTTAAAATAAATTCTCGAGAAATAATATAAAATCTCAATAGTACAAAAACGTAGATTGTAACAGTGAAATCCGGGAACGGGATTTCACACTAATGGTGGCCGACAGCTACCCTGACAGTGGGCCCTGTCGGGCGCTGAAGGCTTCAGCCCGCGTGGGGCGTTTGAGGCACGTGGTTGGGCCGAGACTAGGCTGGGTTTGGGCGAGTCCACATGCATCTAGGCTAAATCCTAGGTGGAATTTGGCTTTTGTTTGGGTTTGAGCTTTTAACCCACACATTTAGGTTGGGTTGGGTTGGATTTGGAGGAGAATTAAACCTAAAATTTGGCAATTAGCCCAGGGTTGGATTTGGTCTAAAAGAAGTAGAATGAGTTTAGCCTCAAAATAAATTAACAATAATGTGGTTCAAAAATACTTTTGTCTATATTCTATCTATCTATCTATCTTTACAAAGTCAAAATATAAAAATAGTAACACATTCAAAATACTTGAAATTATGCTTTCCTTTTCAAAACTCTTGAAAATGACAATTTAATCAATAATGACGTGTTGATTAGTCTTCCAAAAATACTTTTGAGAAGATAGAAAAACGAGACATTGAAAATATTTAACTACCCTTTCCTTATCTGTTCGTTGCAACATGCAAGTAAGATGGGATTGTCTTCTGTGTGATGTGTGCTTAATTTAATATCGTTGCCCCCACGAAAATAACCTTACAAAAAAAAACTCTACACTGGAATTGGTCTAGCGCTTTTGATTTTTATATTGAAAACAGTCATTCTATAACCTGATAAGGGATGACCCACTGATTGAAAACGAATTTCAAACTTATATTTCATACACGGTACGTTTTGGATTAGATTCTTAATCGTGTGTTTCACATGATAATGGTTAAGAAAGTTGAAATGCCTCTGTGAGTCTTTTCGATCTCCAAAAGGTAGATTATTGTGGCGAAACCACCAAGTAAATTTTTTTTATCACACATGGATGACATACTAATCCTTTTAGTCCATTTTGTGGTGATTAAGTTTGTGTCTAAGCTTGCTTAGATTTGAGTTCTCTATCACTTATTTTTTTTGTCCTTTTTCAATCCATTTTTCCTCTCAAAATCTTCCCTCTATGGTTGTTTGGGTAGTGTGGGGTGTGGCAAGAGATGGAGCTGAATTTTTATGGTGTGGGTTGTCTAGATATAATGCGGCTTTCGTCCATGTTAAATTTGCCTTTTTGAGCTTTGTGTCTTTCTTTTATGTCTCATGGTGACGTTGATGGGATTGATCATGATGCAATCGATAACTTCATTGGTAGTTTTGTGTGCAAAGTCCTTATTGTAATGGTCACTATTTATTTACTTTGCAATTCCTCTTTGAAGTTGACGTTGCTTGTATATGTAAACAGTGCTCTTTACTAGTTTTGTTGGCAATTTTGTATGCAAAGTTTCTCATGAGGCGGATTTGAAGTTATTGAATTTTTAGTTGCCAAGATTATAGTACTTTTAGCTTTAGAGTGCTAGATGTGTTATCATGCTAGTCACACTCGAAGATCTGCCGATATGGTAACTATTAGATTGGTCAAGTTGGGTTTATTTTTTGTTTTGGAACCGTTGTGTTTGAGGATCATTCGAATTTGATCTAAGATACTCTATATGAAGTTTGTACTTTAAAAAAAAAATGCTAATCAAACCATTATCGTTTTGCCTAAAAAATTCATTTTCTCTATATTCTTGGTCCCACATGAGGCATTAAGACAATAATGTACTTTTGATCCCGAGCAAAATGTATACCAAAGCAGAGTTGGTGGCTCCCACCCCTTATCATCTCTTCTCAACGAAATAGCGTGGTAGGGAAAATAACATGCAGAGGATCAGAATTCATACTCATCCGTCAAATGTTGAAGTGAGGGGCATCAAGCTGATTGGTGAAAAGTGTGATATTTCTTCGACGACTACATGGCCTTATACTTATTATTTAAATTTATCCCATAATATTTTCTTGTCTATATACCATACGACATCGAGAAATATTAATGCTATTCTCTTAAAAGTACAACTCCAGATAAATTTTCTGATACTTTTTTTTTTTGCATAATGATCTAAAATATTGGTACAATAATTGACGTTAAATTATGAAGTGATAAGAATTGCTTATAAAATCTCAATTTAAAAAAAAAAAATCTTAGCATTTTTCGTATAATATTGGGGCATTTCAATAGAGATGCATTTTCATTGGCACGTAATGGATGTGATCCAACGTACCTGGACTACAGCGTACAGACCCTACGTCAGCAAATTTTTGTGCAAGTTACATTATCTATGTGTTTGATTTCATGTGCAGGTTAAAAATAGGCTGCTGCTCCATCTTTTTGGAATTCAAAAATAATAAATTCAAATGAAAACTAATGAAAAGAGCTTCAAAACTTTGCGTTTTAACTAAAAACCACCTACTAACTTTATTTAATGATAAGGACAAGAGCAAAAAAAATACATAACAAAAGGCATGAATTCGGCACAGCCATCCGTAGCAGTCCCTTCTATGGCTACTGCATGGTTCTTGAGGCACTCCTTGTAGTAAGGACAATAAAAAAAAAAATACATAACAAAAGTTTGGTGCAACCCCTACTTACTACGCCAAGTACGCCCGCGAGGACTTTGTCAATTACAGAGAGGTCAAGGCCAGCGACGACCAAGCCCTCCATGAGCTTTTCCTCAGGGCCTACAATCACTCCCTATGGGTCCTCAACAAGGTAAATAATGGTGTATGATCCAAATGGATATGGAAGGAAAGGGTACAATGAACAAACTGAGTTCGATTTTTCTTTTTGGTCTTTTGTTGTGGTGAATGCTTCCATTGGTGTAAGCTAGAAAGATCTCACTCCCCAGTTCCCAACCCACTTTGGCCGTTATCAGTGTGGACGTAGTGACCTTGTTGTCATGTTCTACTTTCAAGTTTATTTCTGAAACATCATTTTATTTTTTTTTGGTTTTCGACGCTTCCGTGTGAGTTTCTGGTGAACCCAATTGGGGTTTCTTGCGATTGTAGTACTCAGTGGACGAATCTACGACCGATAAGTTGAAGAAAATATGCTCCACTTAGCACGTCTGCCAAGTGTTCGATGTAATGCCTAAAAGATCACGAAGATATCCAGGCTGCAAAATGTGACTAAAGTTATAATAATGAAAAAACTTGAATTAACTGAGTCATCATCTGTGCCAATATATGTGGAATACTTTTGTCAAGTTTTCAAAAAACCTAATGCCAACATTGATAAAGGGAAGAAATAGAGATTTGTTCAGAGTTCAAATTGATTTTGCATTTAAAATGCAAGAGAGAAAGGAACGCGTGTGCATAGCCACAGTGGTTGAAATGATATGCAACACAACAGAACATCCACCATTGAAAAGGTGAGGCCCTTGAGGGCTTTGATGGTGCCCTCTTCTCCATTAGGCATGAATTTGCCACAGCCATCCGTAGCAGTCCCTTCTATGGCTACTGCATGGTTCTTGAGGCACTCCTTGTAGTAAGTTTTCATAAACAGTGTCCTAAGTTTCATAAATAGTGTAGTAAGTTTCATACACAGTGTACCGTGAGTCCGCGCGTCAGATTTTTTGTCATTTTTATTAAAATTATGCTTTTTTCATTAAAATTTAGGATTAATCTCTGTTTACTATCCTGAAGTTTCGTGGTTTTCAATATTTAGTATATCAAGTTTTTTCATCCTAGAGTCATACCTAAAGTGTAAATTTTGGGACAGTCTCATACATCCGTTAGTCAAACTGTTAATTCTCCCATTAAGTGATGATGTGGTGCTCATGTGGACAATGATTGGGCGCCACGTGTCATTAAGAGGTTTCACGTGGAATTATTATTATTATTATATTTTTTGAGAATGACTTAAAAAAATTCAAAAAAAAAAAAAGAAAAAGAAAAAAGCCCGGTCTCCTCTCTCCCTCATCCCCCCGCACCTTCTCCCTCCCTTTTCTCTTCTGTAGCCCGCACCCTTTCCCTCCCTTTTCTCCTCTACAAACTGCACCACCCTCCCTTTTCTCCTCCTTCCTCCCTTATCCCTCCCTTATCTCCTCTGCACCAACCCACCAAACCCTAGTTTTATAAAATTTCATCAAATCTGTCGCCAAGGGAGCCCGAGTGTGGGACGCAGGTGGATTGTGAAGGGAAGTTCACTTGTAGGTCCGACCCGGCTGTCGAGGTGCTGGTAATTAATGAGCAGGTAGACATTGAAGACAAAGACGATGATGCAGAGAACAATGGCGACGATGACGAGCGCGAGGTTGAAATCACCCATCGCATTTAAAAATGAGGCTTCTATATCAAAACGCCCTTAAATTCAATGGAAAACTAATGAAAAAGACTTGAAAACTTTGAGTTTTAACAATAAGGACAAAATAAAGGGTAAAATGAATAGTACCAGGTTTGACTTTTTAGTGTAAAAATGTGGTTTTTCGTTAAAGTGAACAGTACCACGGACTTTTCGTTAAAACTCCCTAAATTCAAACTAGCAATGGATATTTAAAAAGAGAAATAAAAATCCTTAAATAAAAGAATAGAGATTATTTAAAATATAAGGGCAAAATTGAAATAAAGATTAATAGTTTAAAAGATAATAAAAATGACGTGGAATGAACTTATGTCAACAATCACGAGAAATAGATTGTTCTTAATATTGACTATGAAAATTGGACTTAAATTAAATTAAATCCTATAATATTCAGGTTCTTCAGGTGACCCAAAAAAATGGGAATCACATGCTCAGACTCAGTCATTACATATTTTTTAGGTTTTTTTAATCCAAAATGATTCATGAAAATTGCATATAACTCCTCATTTTAGTCATTAAAATTTGAAATCAATGGAATTGGTCCCTGAGTTTGTCTACCATCAATCATTTTGGTCATTCCTTGAAAAATCTCTATTAAATAAGAATGACCAAAATACTCCTAGTTTTTATTAAATCATTTTAGCCCATTGTTTATAAATTGAGGTATATTTGTCATTTTGATCCTTATTTAACGTAATTTTGTACGGAATGACTAAAATGATTGATAGTGGACAATCTCAATGACCACTTCTATTGATTTCAAATCTTAGGGACCAAAGTGATGTGTTATGCAAATTTCAAGGACTATTTTGACTAATAAACCTATCTTTTAATGGGATCGTATGGCTGTTAGTTAACTAAAGCTTTATTCGTTTTTAACTAAAGCTTGTTGAAAATATCAGCATTGTTGACAATGTTGGCTGATAATTGAATGCCCACAAATGGATTTTCAACATTGCAGACTAATGAAAATATTGGCAATAGACTTTGGAATTGTAGGAATCACATTTTCAAAGTATATGCTGTAAATTTTGAATGTACAATTAATGGGTTTGATCGGAGCTGCTCTATAAATAAAGCGCTCCGTATGCCTACAAGAAGATACAGAGAGAAAGCATACAGAAAAAAAAAAATCTCTTCCTCCATCTTTTATTTATCATTCACTTGAGCTATAGTTTCAGTGTGATATTTTACATCTGCTTCGCACCTATCTAAAAGGTTATCTCTCTAACTTTGACATATTTATAACACGTTATCAGCGCGAGTTTCTAAATATAACCATGTCTCATTTACATTCACCAAAACTAAATCATTCTCTCATTTCTCTCCGCCGAACGAAAAAAAAAAATATTTCCTCTACGATTTTTCCTGTTCATCTTCTTCCTCTGCCTCAACTGCGCGGTATACCCTCGCGACGAACTGTTTGCTCCATGCCTGCTCGTAGTTCTCCAACTGGCGGTTACATACATCTTTGATTACTTGTTTGGTTTGGATATTGATTACTAACCCAGTATTTATTTATGTTAATTTTACTGCAATCCAAGATAGTGCGGTACAATCGCCCATCTTGAACTGCAAATTGCATCTTACTGCGATCCAATATGGTGCGGTATCATTGCCTATCTTGGACTGTAGATCTACTTTTACTGCAAAATTCAGGTGGAGCGGTATAATCGCCCACCTTGCTCTGCAAATTTAAATTTACCTGCTGTTTAATTTCATTGCAATTTTTAGGTGGTGCGGTATAATCGCCAACCCTGCTCTGCGTATTTCAATTTTCTTACTACTTGAGTGGTGCAGAATAATCGCCCATTCTATGTTACATTATTTCAATGAGAATGGTGCGGTACAATCACCCTTCTCATTCACACTGAAAATCTCGAGCCAGAAGTTTCGGGTGCTTATCATTTTGGCCTAAAGATCAAAATGAAAAATTTGTAAGAACCAGAAGTTCTAACATTACATTCCTCCAGGAATACATATTATTGCAAGTTCTTACACATGTCATTTTCTTTCAGAAAAGAAAATGGCGAACTTGGCAAAACTTGAATATGCTGCCCTGGACATTATCGGGAAGAATTACCTTACCTGGGTACTGGATACCAAGATCCGTCTGGAAGCATGGAATCTTGGAGATACCATCAGGGAAGAAAGCAGCTCATCCTCTCAAGATCGGGCGAAGGCCATGATCTTTATTTGCCGCCATCTTGATGAGGGACTAAAGAGTGAGTACTTAACGGTTGAAGATCCGTTAGCTCTCTGGGAGGCCTTGAGAAACAGATACAATCACTAGACAACAGTGATTCTTCCAAGAGCTCGCTATGAGTGGTCTCAACTGAGAATCCAAGATTTCAAATCAGTGGCAGTGTACAATTCTGCGTTGTTCAGGATTACCTCTCAGATGAAGCTCTGTGGGGATACCATTACTGAGGAAATCTTGCTGGAAAAAACTTACAGCACATTTCATGCCAATAATGTGCTCCTGCAGCAGCAGTATAGAGTGCGAGGCTACACTGAATACAACCAGCTGATATCTGTGCTCCTGGTAGTTGAACAGAATAATGAGCTCCTGATGAAAAACCATAATTCCCGACCTACTGGATCTGCACCATTCCCAGAGTGAATGTTGTTTCCCTCGAAGTGAATGCCACATCCTCTGGTGGTGATAATCATAAACGAGGACGTAGCCACAAGCGAGGTCGATGGAATAGGAAAGGCAATAACCATGGTGTTCAGTTTCACAACCAGGTTCTGAGGCATAATTCAGGCCCGAGCTTTAAAAATGTGAATTGTCACAAAGGCAAAGCTCATATGAACAATACTCCCAGGAACTCTGAAGGAGCCTGCCATAGGTGTGGTGGCAATGGGCATTGGGCACGAACTTATCGTACCCCAAAACATCTAGTAGAGTTGTATCAAGCCTCCCTCAAGGAGAAGGGTGTCAAGACCAATTTTCTCGACCAGGCTAAACCAATGGATATACCTGATCCAGTGTTTGATTTATCAGGGTAATTGGACACAACTCTCCTAGATGTTTCAGACTTCATTATGGAAAGGGAAATGAAGTATACCGGTCTGACTAAATCGTTTATGTTTAATGTACTTTTATTATGCTAAACTTGTTGTCTAAAACTAATTTTTCAGATTCAATAAAAGTGGCATGTAAATTTCCTGTTATAAATTGTTTGTTAACTGTGATTCCATTTACTCAGAAAGCATGGATAAAAACTGTGGTTATTCTCAGAACATGAGAAATGGCAGAGATATTTGTCTTGCAGACAGTACAACCACACATACAATACTTCGTGATCGAAAGTATTTCTCAAGCTTAATGCTTTCAAGAGTAGGGGTAACAACAATATCAGGACCTTCAGATGTAATTGAAGGTTTAGGGAAAGCCCAGATTATGTTACCAAATGGAACAATATTGTCCATACAAAATGCATTGTATGCTACTCGATCTACTCGTAACTTGTTGAGTTTCAAAGACATACGTTTAAATGGATACCACATTGAAACGAAAAGTGCAAAAAATGTGGAGTATTTATGCATTACCTCCAATGATACCCAGAAGCGTATATTGGAGAAGTTGCGTGGTTTTTCGAGTGGATTATATTATACATACATAAGGACAATTGAATCACATACTGTCATGAACCAGAAGTTCATTGATTCAACGGTTTACATGCTTTGGCATGACTGTCTAGGTCATCTAGGATCCACCATGATGCGTAGGATCATTACGAACTCTAATGGACAT